TTTCTGTGATGTAGAATATTTTTCTTGAAACATTCTCAAAATATTTTAGGGCTTTGTGAAACTAATTTAAACTGTTACAGACTATCTTCCTATTTTTCAAAAGGTTTTAGACATATATGCATCCAGGAAAATCTTTTGATTCGCAAGTCCCCAGATGATTCTTTCATATGCTTTCAACTTTCTTTATTGCATCTGTTAGCTATCTCCTTTTCCTTTATTGCTCCCCTTCTTCTCAGGACTAACATGTTAGACAAAATATCTGACAGTATAGAAATAGTTCTCTCTCTCTCTTTCCACTCAACTGTGAGCATTTTTATATTTGGTGATTTTAATGCTCATGTTAAGTAGCTTAATCATTCTAATGTTACTGATATTCTGACATTCAATTTTTCCATTGATCAGTATGTCAGTCAAATAGATTTCCATACTCATTTCTCTAATAATTCTGATCAATGTGCTTCTTTATTTGATTTATTCCTCACTCTCTGGTTCTTCTTGAGTATCACAACTGTCCTCTCGGCAATCATTCCATAGTATCTGTTGATATTTCCTTTGAGTTGTCTATTAGACATGAACCTCCTACTTACAAGACTTTTTTTCCATTACCAGCATATCGATTGGGATTAATTTCATGATTTTCTTCCAGATGCCCCTTAGAGTGAAATTTTTAACCTTCCTATTGAAAATTGTGCCACTGAGGATTATTCTTGGGTAAATGTCAGGATTGATGCTTTTGTGCCTTCTTGCAAATATCAGGTGAAACCACAATCTTCTCCTTGGTTCACACCTGCTTGTTCAGCTGCCATGGTCCACAGGAATTACTTTTTCTGACTTTATCATTGTGATAGTTCTGATCACAACAGATGCCTCTTTGTATCTGCTCATAATAATTGTAAACATGTCCTCTTTGAGGACAAGTTTTGTTCACTGACAAAATGAGACACCATAGAGCCTGTAATAAGTTTGGCTCTCATGACTACTAGTGGCTCTGTAAAATGTTAAATAAAAGTCTTCTATCCCTCTTCTCTTTACTCAATTTAAAGTGTTATCTTCAATTCTACTCTTGACTCATATGGAGTATCTTTGTCTGACTTTCCACTTTGTTGTGATATTCATATAACTCCATCCATGGTTTCTGATATCATCTCTATACTGAATCCCCACAAAGCATATGGACTTCATAGTATCCCTGATATAGTCCTTAAGAAATGTGCTCTCTAAACTCTACAATAAATGTCTTGCTGCTTCCTGCTTGTTGAAATTCTCTTCTGTAATTCCAGTCTAAGTGTAACATTGAGATCTCTGGAGATTGATCAAACAAAAAGAAAATGAAAAGAAAGAAGGAAGTGGAGAGTCTACTAACTGGATGATAACTGTTGAAATTGCAGGAACATGGATTGAAAGTTTGAGAAGAAAATTAAAAACGAAATGTGTTGAAAAATCATGTTTTTAAGATAATTCCAAAGAGAATTGAACCCAAGATTAACTAGACAGAATTCAGTAAGATTGAGCAAACCCAAGACTACCCATTTTTCCTCACTTCCCGCTGATAAGAAAGAAACCATCCATGAAGATGTCAGATAAAATAAAAATATATGTTGACAATAGAGAAACCAGGGCAGTCACTGAAATAAATAACAGTCACAATTCCTCTGGACAAAGAAATAAACAATCTAGTTTGAATCAGCCACACAGAAGAAAAGTGCCCCCACAGAGATAGAGACCAACAGTGACATTCAGAGAAAATTTTATATCCAAACATTAATTCAGACACCTTTGGATAAAAGGTGCTAAGGAAAACTTGATCACTATTTTGAAGTGAACATGGACAAGAAGGCTAGGTGGTCTGTTCAATTGTAAGAAAATGAATAAGAGAAAAGATCAACTTTCATGTTAAGGAGAGTGGAAATAGATTTTTCTTTCCTTTTCCAGTTTTTGAGTGGTCTGGTTGATCAAGAGATTCCAGTATGGTGCAAGCTGATAGATAAGGATTAATGACTGAAAATCCCTTAGGTTTTCGCTGTGCCATCTGGAAGTTGGATTTGTCACTCCAGCTCAGGAAGTGGGCTGAGGTTGGCTACTGAGAAAGTGAAAGGAAGGAAGGAGAGAGAGAGAGAGAGATTAGCACCACCTATATGGAGCTGTGGTGAGAGGCAAAGTGTAAAGAGAGTTGGAGTTAAGGAGTAGCTTGATCCCCCTGACCACTCTTAAAAGGGGGCTGGACAACCCCAAATTTGGAAAACCACTTGAGTAAATATATATGGGAATTTGGAAAAAGTTGATACTTAGGGTAGAAGACAACCAAACCCAGACCCTAATCAACTCCGCCTGTCAGAAATAGGACTCCATATAAGCTGGAGATTTTGAACTCAGAGACGAGAGACAAACACACGCGCAGAGTCCCCACATTACTGTTACCGGTATCTGCATCAATCACTGAGACCTCCTGACCAAGACCTTGTGCTGGACATGAAAACCAGAACTTAGAAATTTATGTTACTGCTAAAACAAGCTGCAGACTCCAGCAGAGATCTCAGTGTCATTTGATTATAACAAGTGGGAAGGGTTAAAACCACAAATCATATATAAACCAAATTATTGCTACATTTTTAACCTGAATTATTTCTTTATTCCAAAGGATTCTTGTGTGTGTGTGTGTGTGTGTGTGTGTGTGTGTGTGTCCCAAAATTTTGAACAGACTTCACTTCAAGTTAGCTACATCAGCGATCTTCTCACCCTCTGAGATCAAAAACACAACGTGGCAGAGTGAATGTTCATGAAGAGACAAACGCCAGCTAAATCACGATACCAGCAACTAAATAAATCATGCATTAATGAGTGAAGAGTCAGCTAAATGGTAACCACAACAGTCCGAAGGAACTTTAGGACCAACTAAAGAGTTACATTATTGGTTACCACCATTTAAGAAGAAAACTGGTTACATTATTGGTTACTGCAGATAAGGGATGACTCAAGGGGTAGTACATAAGAACTCATGTGAACTGTCTGATCTTTCTAACTATTGAGCTATTAGCTTTCTACCTCTTTTTGGCAATATCAACTGTGAATTGGTTAAGCATCTTACCTTGCAGAATTTTCTTTCAGAGAATCAATATCACTCTTACTTCTCTAGGTCAACTGCTGATGTGTTAACAGTTATTGATGAAAGAGTCTATCAAGCTTTAGATAAAAATTGTGAAGCTTGGATTGTTACTTTGGATATCTTGAAGGTGTTTGACAGGGTTTGGCATGTTGACCTCCTTAAAAAATTGAAAGTTTATAGTATTTCTGGACAAAATCTTTGAACATATTCAATCTTTCTTATCAAATTACAAAATGAAAGTTGTCTTGAATGGGCAATCTTCTAGATCATTTTGCATTAATGTGGGTGGAGCCCAAAGTTCTATCATTGGACCTATGTTGTTCCCAATTTTCATCAATCTTCCCAATGTCATCAGTTCTGAACTTGGCATCTATGCTAACCATACAACTATTTACTCGTCTTAATGGTAAGTCTGATAAGGTCAAAACTGGAAGCTGATCTCTAAAATGTCCTACAATTTAGGGTAAGAAATGGCTTGTTAATTTTAACACCTCCAAAATGAAACTGCTCTCTTTTAATCATCAAAGCAGAGCTTTTTTGCCTTCAATTAGCATGGCTGAAGCTCACCTCCAGGAGAGTGACTTGTTGCAAATTCTCAGAATAATATTTTCCACAGACCCGAAGTGAAAAGATTATATTGAATCAATTGCTAGGTCAGCTGCAAGGAAAGTCAATTCACTGTGCTGTACTGTCCTGGGTTTGACAATAAACTACATCCGCGTCCAGTGTAAGACAATAAACTACGTCCAACAGCATGCCTCTGATCAGGAGGTTTTGAGGAGTGTGGAACTACCTCTTAATTGCTGGTGTTCCCAGTTCCAAACTGAAGTTAAAAGCCTTATGAAAGTGTAAAAATAGGTTTTAATACCAGAAATACTTTGTAAAAAATTATTACCAGAAATAAATTTTTCAAGGAAAAAAAACTATTACCAGTAATATATTTTTGAAAAAAAATTAAAAAATACCAGCAATACATTTTTTAAAATAATATTACTAGCGATACATTTTTGAGAAAAAAAAAATATTACCAGAAATAGATTTTTGACAAAACAATATTACCAGGAAAAAAGTTGCCAGCATTAAATAACCCATTGAGGTTGATATGCCGTAAAAGAAAACAAACCAAACCAATCACTGTGCTGTAGTAGACAGTTTTTCTTACCAGAATCTATCTTACACCTTTATAAATCTATCATTCCTCCATGCATTGAATATTGCTGTCATATCTGGCCTGGTGCTTCTACTATGTATTTAGGGATTATACATAAAATACAAAGAAGAATCTGCAATGTTATCAGTTCTGACCAGGCATCTCAGCTTCAGTCATTTTCCCCATCACTGTAACATAGTTTCCCTGTGCCTTTTCTATAAATATTTTCATGGTAATTGTTCTGATAATCTTTACTCTTTGGTACCTACTAGACTTTACAAACTTAAATGCAGTAATAGATTGGCACCTAGGTCTCACATTTTACAGTTGAAATAACAAGATGTAACCATAAGTTCTATGCTAATTGTTTCTTTTCACACTCTTCTCATTTGTGGAACTCTCTTCTAGCCTCTTGGTTTCCAGTGAACTTTGATCTTTAAAATTTAAATGCAATATAAATCATTATCTTCTTTCTACTTAATTCCTGTTATTGTTCTCCCTTCTTAACAATGTTTTTCTTTTTCTCATTCTTTCACACTCAATAACCTATTGCATCTTAGTGGCATGGCCTTGCTTGTGGTGAAATGATTAAGGGTGTTCACAAAAACCAATCCTAATGCATTGTTACTCCATTATCTAATTTTTACACAAAATTGTTAATGTTATAAGATGCACATATAGCATTTATATCAGATGAAAATTAACAAATAGAAAGCAAAAATCCAATCATTTTTTTTTCTCCATAATCTAAAAATTTTTAGCAATGTAATGGGAAAGTTTATTTGCTCTGGTTACCTTGAATGTAACTAGATTTGCCCTGGAATCTCGTAAAGACGGTCCTGCCATCAGGTAATCTGAGGATATTACTTCTAAAGGAAAGTGCTCCTCACATTTTTCATTAGTTTCAAGTCCTTTAGGCCAAGCAGTGCAAAATTCTAGCAAAGAAACAAAATAAACATAATCATAAAGCCTGCATTGACTATAAAAAGGCATGATTATAATTTACACATCATTTTTTGTATTAGGATATAGAAAAAAATGAAATTTTATTAAAACTGAATTAAAAATATTATTTAAATTAGCAAACATTTATCATATTTGCTGGCTTAGAAAAAACACATTTTTAATCTCAAAAGATCACACTCCACATGGGCTAAAATTCCATAACCTACAGGTTAAAATCTTATAAAGACTGAAATCCCAAATCTTAATCACCAAAACCTGAAAAAGAGCAAATGCTATGAGGCAAACTGAACAGAGTCTGGAATGTGTGTTGGCTGGATTGTGAAACTATATGAAACAAAAATTGCAAGTGTTGTTGAGAATGAACAAGATGAATCTAAGCTAGAGCCCGTACAGTTATGAAAGATGAAATAGCAACTGAAGAACTAGTCATGGCAGCCACTTGTCCAATTAAAACAAATTTTCCCATAAATAGACCTAATCATTATGCCAAGCATTGCCAGTATTGCCATCCCACAACAAGCACAGTGTTTCCAATGCCAAGGAATAGGTCATATTGCTGTGCAGTATCAAGGGAAAAATGAGGCGCTCACAGTGATAAATGTGCACATAAACAGGAAACAGTGTATGGCAATGGTAGATTTGTGGTATATAGTCATTCTCTTTTGGACAAATCCATAATATGCATATAGAAAAAAATTAAGTCTTATATTTTTTTTTCTTTAATTTATTAATTTCACACTTTTTGACTATTTATATGATTTTCTAACCCCTCATTTATTAAGATCCTTATTTATTGCATACATATATCTTGCTATATTAGATTTAAGTAACAATTTTTTGGTTCTAAAAGGCTTTCCTTCTATAAAAAAAAATGAACTTCAAATGCTAAGTTACTGATATATTTACATTCTTTTCCATTTTCAAGTTTGAAATAAACTTACTCTTGAGGGCCTCACAATGTTTTTTAATATGAGCAGGAGTCAGATGGAGAAAATTAGGAATCTTCATCAGTTCAGCATTAGCATAACGACCTGGAGGAATGCCTTCATTTTCATTCAGCCTCTGAAACATACAATAGAAATATGAATAGAAATTTGCAAATTATGTACTTCATACACTGTCAGATTGTATTATGCAAGTCAATATTTTCAGAAAATTGGTAAAAATCAATGTTCATAAAATTTTAACGATATTCTTGTATGATAAATAAACTATGTGAATTTCATCTTATGTGTCTTATTAGAAATATTTACAATTTATATCGTGGTGCAACATTTTCTTCATGAATTCCAGGGTTGTTCATCATATTCTACATAAATACATCTAATCATAGTTATTAATATTTTTCATTTCTAGCATGTAGATATTGCCATGGTTTATAAGAAATATATAAGCTCAAAAAAGAAACAAGATTTTGTCAAGTTATTGAATGATGAAAACAATGTTTGAAATTACAAAAAAGTTAAGACAGAGATCAATTGAAAAAGAATGCTATATAGAGATAGTGTCTGTGTGGGGGGTGGGTAATGTTTGGGGCCAGAATTTAGAAATAATGTAATGAGTTCCCACCTTCTGCCCTACCTTCTCCAAGTTGTGATCCATCATTAAAAATAGATGTATTTGATAATAGAAAACAATACTCAAACAAATATAATTTTTGGAAAGCTATAAAAACTGCTGAAGGTTTTGAAGTTGAAACAGTAGAAAAGTAAACAAAAATCAATGAATAAAAGATTAATGAAGATGATAAAAGGTCAAGAAGCCCATATTAACATATAAAATTAAAAAAAAAATTTAAACAGTTATATGGGATATTATGTTAATAAAATATGTTTCTGTCATATCTTTTGAAGTTATTTAGTTTGTTATCATAATAAAAGTTGACATCACCAAAACAAGTTACCGATATTTTTAATAAGGATAGATAGGCTGAAATAATCACAATATATTGCTCGTATAAATATAAGCATATTCTGAAAATTTTACCAACATTAATTTTTACTGTGAAAACATTACTTTCTATAATTAGAAGGACCAATTTTCTGCTATCAGGAAATTGCAATTCTGAAATGGAATCTGGTTTTTCATGTAATTATCAATAAGAAATAAATTAATAATCATTTCGAATTTTTTAAAAAATCCTTTCCAATTTATTCTTTCAAAACTTAACTGTCTCTACAATTTTGCTATTAGAAACTTAATTTGCTTTAATAAATAAATATAACATATTTAATAAATTTATTTTTACAAATATTTTTCCTTTTTTCTAGACATGAAAAAAATTAATTACCAAAGTTTTATATTAATTACATTTTTAAAATAAAGATGGCCGTCAGTTTTCCAATAAAAATTTTGGCTAGCCCTATAGGTACAGTCACTAATTCACTGAAAAAGGTGCATACCATGCCCCAAACTTGATAAAAAACAAAATTTTAGCATTATAAAATTATTATATAAGGAAAGGCTAAAGTATTTTGTTTTGATTATTTAATTAATTTTTTAATCCTTTCTTGCACATTAAAAATTTTGGTTAAAAATCTTGTTTTTCTTGTGTCATTTGTTGGGGGGATCATTTTAGAGGTACCAAAGATTAGCATAGGAAATTTTAGTGTCTTTTCTGCAATAAAAAACGCAAATTTAGAAATCTTGCAAGAATCAAATAATTGCCATTTTTTTTTTTTTTTTAAAGGCAGTTCACCCCAAGCAAGGCAGGAGTGCCACTAGCACACAAGAGGTTACAAAGGATTGAGAACATGAGTAAAGAGGTGTGTTTGAGGAAAGGATACAGAGAAGGATGGGGAACAAGATCAGGGTGTCAGACGTCGATTGACATTACACTTGAATATTTGAAGATTATATCATCGGGGAAGCAAGTAAGGGGAAGGGAGTTCCACAGACAGGAAGTGTGGGAGAAAAAGAGACAGTTACATTAAACCGTTTTGACAACAAAAGGTGGGGACCAAGATGCCAGCCTGATAGCACATTTAAATTCATGTAGTCCAGGAATCAGTGAAAGTAGCTCATCAGAACAGTTGCCATGAAAATATTTGTAGAAGAAACAGAGGAAGGCCACAACACATCTGTGGGATAGCGATTACAGACTAGATGCCAGATCAGGACCTATCATCTTGCATATTTGTCTCTGGATTTTTTCAAGGACCTCAAGACATACAGCGGGAACATCAGCTCATATATGACAGCAATATTCCATGCAAGGATGGATGGTTGATTTATAGATTTGAAGGATGGACTCAGACAAGAAAAACTTTCTGGCATGACACAGAGAGCCAACTTTCCTTCCAGTAGATGAAGTTATTGATTCAATGTATCTATTCCACCTCATGTCAGTGAGCAGTGTGGAGACCAAGCAGGCATAATGAGGCGCTCTCAAGGAGTTAGGAATCAGTCATTCTGATGGGAGGCAAGAAGGGATCTCTGTGGTGGGTAAAGGAGAGCAGTTTTGTTTTGGAGGCATTAAAGTTTACAAGCCATTTCCTACCCGAGTCAACCACAGACTGGAGGTCCTTTTTGAGATCAGCAGCCAGGTTAGTTTTGTCAACGATACTAGATTTACTATTGAGGCAGGAGTAAATAGTGGTGTTGTCTGCTTAGATGCCAACTTGGGAACTAATGACATCAGGAAGGTCATTGAAGATCAGGAACAGAGTAGGGTCCAAGACAGAGCTTTGAAAGACACCAGCGTTTGTGATAAAGGAGCCAGAGAAGAACCCGTTTAGGAGGACTTTCATTTCACGGTTCAACAGAAATGATTGTATTAACTCAAATAATCATCCTGTAATACTGTATCTATATTGAAGCTTATGAAAAGAAGGCTAGCATGCCAAACCCTATCAAGAATTTTTAGAGATGTCTAGAGCCACATTTAGAGGTTTGATATACAATTTCAGTTATGGCCATGAGCACATTTTAGGTAGATTCAAAGCGGAAACCATATTGCTTGTTGGAGAGCAGATTATGTGAAGTAAGGTGCTCAACCACTTCAGCCTCAAAGACTTTACCGAAGAGTGGTAGGAGACTGATAGGACGGGTCAGAAGGGTCACCAGAGATTTTGAAGACAGGCACAACAGATGAGGATTTCCAACAGGCTGGAAAGCAAGAGTCAGTGAGGCAATAGTTGTAAAGTTTAGAGAGGACAGAAGCCAATTCAGGAACACATTTCTTCAGGATAATGGATGGTATCCCATCCCCACCACTAGTCTTATGGTAGTCTAAATTAGAGATGATGTCCAATACCATCGTTGGGGTTATGTGCATCTCACTCAGTAGAACCTCAGTTCTAGGGTGAAAGAACTGTGTGAGTACACCAGATGAGTCTAGTGTTGAATTGGATGAGAACTTACAAGCAAAGCACTCAGCATTATCAGCTGAAGAGATCAGGACCTCAAATTGGTTGAATAAAGGGGGTATTGAGGGCTTGCTGTTGTTCAGCATGCTTTTGCAGAGCCACCAATAATCTTTTGAACAAAACTTGCAAGACACAATACATTGATTCATTCTTTCAGCAAAGAGTAACTTTGCTTCTTTGAGGACATGCTTGCACTCATTACGAGCAGTAACAAAGAGATGTCTGTTGTAATCAGATGGTATAGACGCAAATAGTGATTCCCGTGGGCAAGCAAGCTAAGAACCAAGGGGATGAGTACGTTCACTTTATATTTTCTTGTAGTGATGAAAGCATCAATTCCAGCTTTTACCCAGGATGAGACAGGGAGGTTAAAGACAGTATATCAGAGAGAGTCTGGGAAACACACACACGTATATTTTTTTTTAGTGAAATTGGAGTGGATTTGAACAGAGAAATTAGATCAGAGAATTTTTGTTTACTGATGGTGAAACCTGATCTAGGGCAGGAGCTGTACCCATTGGAACTGGGTCATTAGCAGACAATAGAAATGGTCAAAATAATTTTTATTGATTAAAACTTGGAATAGTAAGCAAGGAGGACCTTTTGAATTAACATGATTTTAGTTGAAACAGTCAAAACTGCGTGATGATCACTTGTGAAGTAGTAGGGCCAAGGTTCAGTTTTAACCAGCCGGATTTTTCTATATAAACGTGTAGTTATGCTGAAGAAGAGGCAGACGGAATAGAGAGACAGAAGAGAATTACCCCAGGCAAGAATTGGGCTAGATACAGTGGAGAGTCAAGTTGGAGACTCAAGAAGGAGAGAACATGACGTCAGAGATTGGAACGAAGCGTCCGCTAACATGTGCTGTTGATATAAGTACTGCTGCTTCTGCTACCACAAATATTACTACTACTGTTACTACTGCTAAGGAGGAATGCCACTATAAACTTTAAGCTGCGCACAGAAATCTTATTCCCCCATCACAAGAGTCGGATAGCATTCTGAGACGATTTAACAACAAGTTAATCATAATACACTCTCTCTCTGTCCAGAATTCAGTGTATGCATTTTTACGTCAATTGCTTTTCTTTTCTGTAACCCATTTCTTTTCTATACTATTCTTTTCTGCTATATAAAAGACATTAACAATTCAATCATTGAATAGTTGTTTGTCCGGCTTTCTGCAAATATTAATTTTTTTTTTGCTGCATTTTAAATTTCTTAGCGCAGACTCTCCAGCAGTGTCTACATCTTCAGTCGACCGTGAATGGATGAACATCACTTCTGCTTTCTGGATCAAACCAAACACAACGTGGGCAGGAAGCGGGATTAAACCAGTGTACTGATCAAATAATCTACAGATGCTCAGGGGACCTACGGTCACTCCCTTAAGTTCAGTTAGGACTGAGTAGACACCTCAACCCAGAGAGTAAGACATCAAAGGTTGAGGGGCTGGGGCGAAAGTGTTAGACTGGTGCCGTGTTAACCAAGATAGACCTGTGGAAATTACCACGGCCGTCTGAAAGAGGGAAGGTTGCATTTGTTTTGTCCAGCCAGGACCATAAATGACTCTAGTCTTCAGACTATATTGGTCTAAAAGGGACAGAAGGAGGAAAAAAGAAACAAAACACGGCGTGGTGGACCTCAGGTAAGTCACTTTTTGGCTTCCTTTTTTCACTCATTGCACTTAGA